CATCTAGAGGCCAGTGGCTGTTGATGGGTGTGCCGTATAATATTAATAAGTTTAACCTATAGTATAGATTTGTTAGACATTTGATATGTCCTATTTGTACCTAGGGTTAGTTCGAACCCAAAAGTGTAAACTTGTTTGGATGCAAATAAACTTGAATTTACGGCCTGATTAGGTGTAAAAAAAAAAAAAATAAAAAAATAAAATAAACTGGTTTAAATTAATTTTGTTATTTGATTTGAATTATAAAATAAATTTTAATTGGATGGTTATCAAGTATTGATTAAAGATCAAAAGAAGAAGATAAACTGATTTTAATTTTTAAAACTAAAAAAAATTATAGATTTTTTAAATAGTACAATAAGTAATGTCAGGATAAAAAAGTATGAAAAGATTGTATTAAAACAAATAATAGATTTCACAACTTTGTTTAAATATGTTTTTTGAAAAGTATTTATAAGTTTAACAAGTATAATAATATTAATAAAAATGGTTTTTATAATAATAAAGAAATTTGGATTACAAAAAAATCAAAGAATAAAAGTATATTGCCATAATCCTTTATCTATACAATTGAAAAATAAATAAAATTCTTAAACTTGAGTAGACTTTGATTAAAGATTTCATCTTACTGTATTGGTTATTTTTTTGTTCTTAGATTTTTGAATTGAGACTCATTTATAATAAAGAATATAAAATATTTTTCTTTAACCAAAATTATTATAAATAGAAATTTTAAACAAAACAGATATGATCAAAAGAAAATTAAGATTTATTTATTAAGATTTTTTAAAAATTTTGTAATTATATAAATTCAAATATAATAATTTTAATATATATATGTACATATAATTTTTTAAATGTTTTATTAACATATTAGATTTTGATTATAATTATTGTTTAAATTTTAAATTTTCAATTAATTATTGAAGAAATTAATAATAATAATAATATTAATATTAATAAGATTACTATTATTAATATTAAGAAATTAAAATAATAAATTATTTGAAAAATAATTTTGATTAAATTAATTATTGACCAGTAGATCAATAGTATAGTGGGTAATACTTCCTGGTCTTCAAATGCATGTTCTTAGTTCAATACCTATAGGAGATAAAATGTATAAAAATTTATCCTTCATTTATGGATTTACTGGTTTTCCTACAAATGTTATACTTCAAACATCTGAATCCTGACCAAATTTAGTTAGGCTGCATGAAGATAGGACCTCTGATCTTTCTGATGATCATGAGTTGAAAATAGGTCAAAGCGGGGAAGGTTATATAAGGAAAGGCTTTTGGTCTAACTCTGATAAAAGTCCACAAATTTTTTTGACATGGCAGACTCCATAGCATAAAAAACACTCTAGCCTGGGGCTATCCCAATCCGATACTTGCTTAAAAGAAGATGATTTCTATAAGGAAAGTTGAAAACTGCAGATAGTGACAAAAAGTATAATATCTTCTCCAAGGAACCAGGTAAAAAGTATTGAATGGATTATTTGGGTGTTCTAATCAACCCTAAAAGATATATGCTCTAATGACTATCACCAGGATTTAGATTAGGTTAGATAGTTTAAAACTAGTAATAGAATTTCTATTTCCTAAAGATTTCACTTGATATGTGGATCCACTCTTACAGTAGATAAATCAGTATAACTGGATAAGACTATAGGTAGGAGTGCGGGTTAACTTAAATGGAACTTATAGTCATGTAATTGGATATAAATCACTCAATAAAAGTCATGTGCTGCTAGTACTCTTTACCTAAAATTTAGAAACTTTTTATTGATTTTTCAAAAAATAAAATAATAAAGTTATATACATTATTATTTTATTATTGTATTTGATTTTTATTATTTATTTAATAAGTTTTTTTTTTAAAATGTAATTAATTTTTATATCTATACTTTTATTATATATTAGTTCCGCAAAATTCGATTAATATCGTATATCACGTGATCGACATATATTTCGGAAATTTGTTAATGTACAACATTTTGAACCCCTGTAAGGGCCATGACTGATATAAACTACACAACAACACAATGATGTACAGAATGGTTGCACGAAATGGGGAGCGAATCTATCGTTTTGCCAGCCTTAGAAGTTCGAAATGTTGACAAACTTATAATTTATAGCGGAAACTTGATGAAACAAGCGAACATCAATTCTATTATAGCATCAGACAAAATAAAGGATCATGAAGTATAACGTAGTTATTATGTTTGTTACTCTGGCGGTGTTATTTTTAACATCGTTAATATGATTCTTAGCTGATAAGCTCGCTTGAGGAAGTTCTGTCTGCAAATCCATCACAAGTATATGACCACACTCATGGTGTGATAGAAATATCTGGTTCGTCTAAACATACACATAAACCTTCTGACGAAAGAGACGACCATGAAATTACAGGTTAGTCTTGATTTATTTTGTCTATTTATAAATTTTCATTCTAAATATTATTCAAATTTACAATCAAAATTGTAGTAAAACTATTTTATCTATCACAATTGTTTACATCATCTTATATTACCCAATCGCTTTATTATTTGTTTCGATTGCTTGGTATTGAGTCAGTAGATAATTTTATTGT